ATGACATTAGCATAGTCTTGGGTCTCCTTGTAATAGAATACCATAATAGATTTCATTGAAATGCTTTGAAGTAAAAAAAATATTGCAATAGTGGAATTGAATATTACTGTAACACACTCATTGTGAATTTTAAATGAGGGAGGAAGGGAAAGAGAGAAAATTGAATTTTTTAAAGTGAACTGGAAATCCAGTTCCATAAGGATATATCTGGTTGAATATATTAACCAAAACCATTTAAAGTGTTTTTCTTCCCACTATGGCAATAATTATCTGTAAGGAATATTAGGCCTGAAATTTTCCACTGAATGCACTACAATCAAAGAGACTATAATGAATGTTAAAATAAGGATTATTGGTAACTAAGATCCTTTTTTAAAAGTTGTTTATGACGTTATTTTAAACCTCATTGACGTTCTGCAGCAGGTGCAGGAACAACTGAAACTGTGAAGTTTGTTGTGCCAGACACTTCTCTGTGAGCTAAAGTTATCTGGAAAACATTTGAGACAGAAACAAGGCAGCATTTATAGAGAGAGCAGCTTGAAAAAAATCTACACACAAAAAGATTCCAAGTAGGTCAATAAGTTATGCATTTGTGTGAAACATTCTATTAATAAATTGGCTTAAGTACTTATTGAAAGGAAGTCTGTCACATTAAAAATGATAAATGTCTATGGACTGCCATATTGCTTCCAATATGAGCTGCATTGCAAGCGTTTCTAGTATCTCTACTGCATGAGGAGCAAGCAGTGTAACCCAGAAATGCCCAAATGGGTTGTCCACTATTTCATATGTAGAATTTTCAAAATATATTAGATTAGCCAATTAATCTAGCTAATGTCTCCTAATTATAAGGATTTATGTTGACTTAAGCTTCTTCAAGTAATTATTTTTTACTTTGTCAACTCTCAAAGTTAATACAAACTAACCTTAATAAAGTCTTTTTTGAGTCAACCTCATCTCCTGGTAACGTAATGGACATGGCCATGCAGTATTTTTGACAATAGTTTGTTGTTGCATTTTACCAGGATATTTTTTGACATGAGGTTTCCCACCCAGGTTCTAACCAGGCCTGATCATTGTTCACTTCCAAGTCCAGACAGAACCAGTCAGGTGCTAAGCAAATGTAATGTAGGAATGTGATAAAACAAAGTGGGAGGCAAAAGGAAGCAACTTGTTAGTGTTGTCATTTAGTATAATATCATCTTTATTGTTATTTAAACTAACTCTCCTACTGTTGGGTGGCTTGTAGGTCATGGTTGTTTTTTATTTACTAATGGATTCTTTTTAGAGGTACCCACATCAGGCATATCTGGAAATGTATGCAATGTTTCTGGAAATATTCCAGAAAAATTGTATGATCCAGTTTAATTTGTCATAAGTATTATTTTGTCATAAGCATATTCCAATATTCATTAGGGTTGCCTTTCCCCTCATGGCATGTAAAATACATTTTTTTAAAAAATGTATATATACATTTTTGAAAGCCTTATTTTGTGCTTTCTTTATACCTTTCTACATTTATTTATTGTTTCTAAATTTTATCCTTGATACACTACAACAGAGGTCCCCAACCTTTTGGGCGCCAGGGACCAGTTTTGTGGAGAAAGGTTTTCTATGGACTGGAAGGTGCGTGGTTTTGTGTGCTGCCTGCATCCCACAGATGGGGCTTTGCTTGTTTGTGCGGCCCAGTTGTTGGCATGCCATGGCCCGGTACCAGTCCACGGACCAAGGGTTGGGGACCCCTACACTACACAATTTTTGTCCATAAAAACCATAAACCTAGGATGTGGTTTCTACCATGAACAACAGCAATACAAAAGTAAATGAGCAGACATCTTAAACCACCTCACACATGTTTTGAATTCAATGAGTGTTTTTGGAGAGAATGACATCCACTCTTTAGCGAGTTTTGTTTGGGGTGGAAAATGCTGGGCTGACAATTGGCTGAAAATAGTTAAAAATAATGACTTTTAGTTAGAACATAATGTTAAATAATGTGACTATGACCATCTTTGTACCACTAGGGCATACTTAATACTTTTGTGAAGTTTATAATAAAGGAAAACAGATGGTGATATTTAAAAAGAAAATATTAGCATTTGGATGAGTGCTAGAAACTCAGGTGACAAATGGCTTGTTTTCCATATGATAACTTTGTTTATATTGCTCACATTAGGAATATTAATATGCAAACTTAGTCCATGGCTATTCTTGTTCCTTTTTTAGCCAAACCTTCTAGGAACATTTTATTTTCATTTGATTATTTTGAGCAGAAATCAATAGTATTGCATCAGCAAAGCAGTTTTAAAACAAAAATAATGCAATTGGTTATATAAAGTAACTTGTGTTACACCATTACTTCAACCTTTGGACTTCTAACATCTAAGTGGAATGATAAAAAGCAAGTCTTCTAGGTATATCAGATTTCATGCAGAAGAAGGATCCTTTCTCCAATAACTGGAGGGAAGCAATAGGAAGAAATGCTTTTATTACAGGGATGGATATGCCAGTTGCTAATTGAAAAACATCTCCAATTTTTTAAAAAGTTGCAATGATAAGTCTTTTAAAAGTGTAACTTTTAAAAAAATAGGATTAGAAAAAATATTTTGTTTTGAAATTATAATTTTGTTGTTTTAATTGGTGCTTAATATTGTCTTAAGTGCTAATTGATTCTGTAAAGTTCTCTAAAATCCATAACTCTATGGTCACATGACCTCAATTTGTGAATTTTGTTTTCCGATGGAAATATACTCATTGGATATGCTGGACTTGCTTAATAACTATGCTGACTCGCTTCATGGCCATTGTAAAATCAAAAATCAATTATAAAATTGAAACAGATCCAGTGGCTTAACAACAGCAATGACTTACAGCTAAAAGTTTGAGATCCATTATGGCTGTAAGTCAAGGACTACCATCCTATACTAATTAGGCACTGTAATTTGTCTTATCTGAGTTCAAAATGTAGGAAGAAGCGTTAGGTAGTTACCATAAGTTTAAATTTCATCAGGTTGGGTCAACATAACAATTAATTATGAGAGTTTGAGTTACCTACCACTGGAATAATACATTTAACCACTGTAGTTTAACCAGGTTTAATATCACATCAACATGGGGTTGCATCTAGATCAGACATGTCAAACTCGCGATGTCACGTGGTGTTGCACAATATATTGGGACGGTTTGGCCATTGCTGGCAATGGGGTGGGCGCAGCCTCCGGATGACATGCCAGGCCCAGAGGCCGGCAGTTTGACACCCCTGATCTAGATGGTTTAGAACTTTGAAGAGCAGGGTTTCTTTTGGCCATGAACTTCAATAGTACTACAAGGGGACAGCAGTCCCTTTCTGTCCACTTGAACTACTTTCACATGGTTTCTTTGTCCTTTTCAATAACATTTAAGCTCAGAATAGTTAAAAAAGATTATCTGCCTTCTCAAGCACAAATAGAATTCTTTATCTAATTTACAATATCTGCTAAAAATATCCTTGTGATGCATATGCATAGTTTTAATTATTAATAACTTTTAAAATAACATGTGATTTATGAAACAGCACTATATAAACTAAGAATAAAACCAGCTGTTGGGAGTTATTGTAGATAAACATTTAGGATGAAAGAGAAAATATAATATTTTGGATGTGGCCTTGTTCATGTTTCTTAAACTTTACAACACTCCAGAACACCAAGCAACCCTTACATACTGGAATTAATGGTCTGCCAGTTTAAGTACTGGCCTAAAACACTGGAATGGTGTTCATCAATTCATGCCTTCCAGATGTGTTGATCTTCTCTTAATTCTTATAATCCCCAAGTATTTCCATATCCAATATATTGGAAAAGTATCAGTTGCTATGCTTGTAAAGTTATTTAACCTACCCTAATCTAAATTCCAACAGAAGGAAACATTTGTATATCAACAAAGATAGATATGTGTGACATCAGAAATTACAAGCAGGATTATACAGTGATGGTTGAGCATATGAATAAACATAATCAACAACACTTATGGTGACAGAATGAAGTTGCAGATAGTCTATGTCAGTGGTCCTCAACCTTTGTGGCTTGGCGACCGGGCAGGGGAAGAGGGCAACCAGGTCATTTGAACAGCAGGCCGGCACACACTTGTTGCCAAGTTGAGCTCTGTGCCATATGCACTCACGCTGGCCCGCTACTCCCGCTAGTTCAGATGTTCCCGCATGTATGCGGGAACTGCCGCTCAAGTATCATGGTTCTAAATCAGCTCGGAGGTTGGGGATCCATGTCTATGTGAAAAATATTGTCCTTATTTTATTATTTGGATCTTAATTTAATAGATGTCTTTGTTCTTAGCTGCTTTCCCTGGGTATACTGGAACTGCAAATATAGTCAGTGAAGGGCTCTTCTATGCTTTTAAATATAGAAAGCACTTCCTAATTATATAGTCCCATAAGTAGTCATAAGAAAAGAGCCATCCTTCTGTTCATTATTTAGTCCATTGCTCATGTACCTGTTTCCATGTTGAGAATATGTGACTTATGCAGTGACTACAATATTCTGTTGTTGTTCTGAGGAATGTGGATATATTACCCTCAATAAATTCCCACATTGACTTCTGAAACCCTGGGACTAATCTACAATTTGGCAGTAGTTTTCACTTCAGTACCAGAATAAGCCTTTGTCTTGACAGACATTATACATGTCACTCTTTGCATATGTATCAATCTGTTCATATAAAACTGTGTAATATATCAGACCTGTAGGAAGCCCTGCCTGAAATGAATGGACTTGTATGATTACATTTCTGATTTATTTATACTTAAATAATTTTGCAATGTATTTATAATTAAAGTTCAACTTCAATAATACTGCAGTCTCAGTATCCTAGAAACCAATTTATGTGGGTTCTTTGGAGAAAATATGCAAAGGAATATGGGTTTGTATATAGGGCTTTAAATAAGATTTTAAAAACACACAAAGTCCACTTCATTTTTAAAATTTCCTTTTTCTCCCTTTTTTTTTTCAGGTGGCTGTTCATTTGATGAACCGTTTACATCATGTGGATATAGTCAGTCTGATAAAGATGATTTTAATTGGGATCAAGTGAACACATTCACAAAGCCCACAACAGATCCATGGATGCCCACAGGTAGTTTTTATTGTAAATAATATTTTTAATCTGTCTTTATCATATTTTATATAGGAATATCATAAATACATTTTCTTCCTTTAGTTATATTGTTGTTTAGGAATACTAAAAATCTGGAATATCTGTATATCTGGAATTTAAAATGTATCCAAATGAGAAACTGTTTGCTTTCTTCCATTAGCATTATAGTTAATTGTTTATGTAATCTCATCCAGGTTACAGGTCTTCTAGATGTAATGTCATATCAAAATAATATTGTACTCTACAGAAATAAGTATAATCAGAAACCACCAAGACCAGTAAAAAAAAAAATCCTACTTTATATGGTGTTGTAATTTGAAAATAAAGCACTCTACTTCTTATAGATATTTATAGATTAATTAAAAGTTCAGAACTTATTCTGCTAGACAATATCTACAATTCTGTGGGAATATTTGTGAATATTCACAATTTAGTATAACCACTTGTGACATAAATCTTAGTGGTTCTGGAAGAGACCAGAAGTCACCATGATATTTGAATTTTGCATTACACTATCTCAACACAGAAACTTGATAGCTTCAAAAATCTACTTCACCCCAATTATGTATAAGAGCATCATTGCCATAAATGGATTCTGATAATTACCTCAAAAAGATAATTTATGCCTTCCTCCAGAAGTAAAAGTGGATTTTATCTGTATAAAGTGTCAGTTTGTGGAAATTCTGAAACCAAAAATTTTGTTGTGGTTGTTGTTGTGGTTGTTTGTCTGGATTTCCTATTCTGTTCAGCATTTGCTGGTGAATTGGAAGCTAGAGTATCATGGATATCCCTCATTTGTCAAGATGAAGACACCCTCAGTAGTGTGGATACCACTTCAGGAAGGGAAGGCATTTTACAACTTCACCAAAGTTGAGAATAAAGCAGCTGTCAACACATCACTGTCAGAAGCAAACTAGCACAACCCAGGCTTTTCCCTAGATCCTGACAACTAACTCTAGCCTCCGAAGAAGTTTCTACAAAGACCCTCCATAGATGAAGTGTGTTTTCTGATCTATGTAGAGGTGATCCATTACCAGTGATGGATCAGAAGAAAATGAAAGAAAGATAGCTCCCTCCTGAGAAGCACAGACAAGCTCCCACTTGTCATCCCTATCTGATTTTGGAGATCTATTTTATCTGTGAGGTTCTTAACTATAACCTTGGTCTTTTCTCTATTTATTTTCAGTCCCGCTATTTCTCCAAATTCTTCTATCTTTTTCAGTAATTTAGGGCTTGTCTCCAAATATGAATACCAAATCATCTGCAAATGCTTGTAGTTTGTATTGTTCATCTTTTATGTCCATTCCCTTAATTTCTGGGTTTTGTCTAATATTTCTATTCAATACTTTCAAAATTAATATAAATAGTAATGGAGATAATGGACACCCTTGTCTTGTACCCTTTTTTATATTAACATTCTCTCTGAAGTCTCCATTTACAATTACTTTAGCTGTTTGTCTAAGATATAATGTTTTGATTATATTTATAAACCTTTCTCCAAAGTCCATATAATGTAATCATTGTCTCATAAATTGCCAATTAAAATTATCGAAAGCTTTCTGTGCATCTAGGAAAATTAGTGCCATTTTTCCCCTGGATGCATTTCATAATATTCCAATGTATCCAAAATAATTCTTAAGTTATTTTTTATTTGTCTTCAGCCACATCTCATTTTGGCATGTACACTGTGCCCCAAGTTCTCAAATCCAAGATATAATAAAAAGATTGAAGACTGGCTGATTAAGACTTTTTCTCCTTCTCCATATAAGCACCAATGATACTACAAGCCATGGTCTCCAAGTGATTTCAGGGCTTTAAGGAGGAGGGTCCTGAGATGATTTTTTAGTAATGCTTCCAATAGAAGGCTAAAGTCCTTCAAGAGAAATAAATTTTAAAACAAGTTGCTGGTTGCAACATTGGTACAAGGGATAGAGATTTGGATTTTTGAACAGTGATTCAAGCTTGAGGGAGGGGATGCTGTTTGAAAACATGGAAGTCATTTCACTAAGGGGAGAAAATACATTTCTGGATGATGACTAATCAACCTGCTCAGGAAGTATTACACTAGAATACAAGAAAGGGAGTTGGTGAGTAACAAATTGGCAAGTAATAGCCTATGTCACTTTGCGCCAGTCACATCCTCAACCTTGGGAAGAAGATGGTTGCTAGGAGTCAACACTGGCTCCAATGCAGACCTCCTATGAGTACAATGATAAGCTGATGTCCTGCTGGCTAGTTGTGAGGAAAATTGTGGCTGGATGGCAAAATCTCTCTGGAAGAAGGAGAGATTGTGGAGATTAACTACATGACTCTGGACAGTTTCTCCTTGTGCATAGATCATGTTGACTCCTCACAACTAATTTCTTCCCAAGGCTAAGGTGTTGAATTCAGTAATGAACATGTTTTGAAGCAAAAATCATGTCCCGGTACTCATCTTTCTCCCAGTACTTGACGCACAAGGTGAACTTGCTGGCATCAGCTGTCTTGTTACTTGCTACTCCTTCTGACTGAAATAAAGGGTCACATGGTAAATCATATGGTTTGTTCAGTACTCATCATTTCCTCCCGGAATGAAATAGCGACAACTAACAAGGTACTATTGTACTTGATGTAAGATGGGTATGGCAGTAGAGTAGATTTTGTGGGAGGTCCTCTTCTAGAGGTGTTCAAGAAGACTAGACATCTAACTAGACATCTAGCTTAGTTTTCCTGCAATTTTCAGAGAATTCATCTCAATTATTTTATCTTTATATGTATAATTTTATGACTAATTTTGATTATAATAGTGACATTTATTACAAATTAAACTTAAAGAAAAATAGAAAGTAAAAGACAAAAGGAAAAATAAAGAGAAAGGTAAGAGTATAATAAAGAAAAAATATAAATAAGTGACTTTGAATCTTAATCACATGTATAAACAAATTTAGTAATTTTTCATCCTCTAATTTTTTCTCTTTATCCCACATCCCATCTCTTACTTATTAAACATTATCCTTTCAGTCCTGGTATCAGGAGAAATTCCATAAAGGGTACAGCCTGAAAAAACAATTTACTTTGTTTTACTTTGATAAATAAACTAACTTTATGTCCCTTTCTTTTACCTCAAACAATCTTAATCCTTAATGCATTGAAATATTATAGAATTTGATTTTTCTTTCTTTCTTCTTCGTCCTATTGCAGAAAGTTCTTCAAAGCTTTTAACTAGACTTTTTTGTAAATTCAATAGAAAAAAATTATCCAGGTCATTCTTCTGGTTTGTCCTTTGTATTTTCCTTTTAGATTTTAAAACTTCAGCCAGTTTCAATTATTACAATTATTTTCTTGCCCTGTCCATTGTAAATCTAATTTCAATACCATCTTTATCTTGTCAAATAAAATTTGTTCTATATCTGACATTTCTTCAATAACACGTGTTGGGCATAGTTTAGCCATAGTCGGGAAGCATCATTACTGGCATTGTGGATATTATGGCTTCTGTTTTCTGATTTCATTCTTCAAAAATCTCCTTCAGTATTTTTATTGTCATAATAGTTTACATCATTTTACATTTGTGTGTGTATTCATCTATACACAAACTGATCTACATACCCTGAATGTTATTGCAGATTGGAACTCAGTAGTAATAAACAGAATATTTTAGCATTATATTTAGGTCTATTTCTACTTTTAGCACTACCCAACTGCTTTCTATAAATATATTAACTGAACTCAGTAGTTCCTTTTTTTTAAAAAAAAAGCAAAATGAAAAGAATTTGTAATGACATTCCAATTTTATACAATGCGATATGCCTTAGTGAGTGAATTAATGACTATTTATGTTTCACATTCAATTAGGCATATTGCAGAAGTGAAAAAATAACTTTATTCCCACTTCTAAATGTTGTAGTAATCAGACCTTTTATTCATTTAATTTAGTTTAATTTTGGTAGAATATTTTACTATACATTGTGATTGTCAGGTGCAAGAAACCAGGAACCAAGATTGTTCAAATGAGTACAAGTTTATTCCATGCTAGCTCTCTACAGGAATCTGAACTAATACAATGGTAAGGCAAACGGGCAATAGATAAGAATCAACGGAATTCAAGGAGGGCTGAATCTCTTGTGGGTGCAAAGGGACTCCAAATTGATGACCCACCTTTCTATAACCCGCACCCCTAGAATGCTTCTGATATATTCTCGCAATCCTTACAAAAGTTCAAAATAATGGCAATGAATTATATATATACACTATAATTTAGAAATTACTAAACCCAAGTTTTCGCACACCCTGGAATATCGTCTCGCACCCCCGGCTGGGAACCCCTGTCTTACACAATTTTTCTCATTAGGCATTATGACATACAGTGATATTTAGAGCTAACTGATACCCTTTATCACCGTGTTGTTCTATGGCTCTGAGAACCAATAGTTAAATTTTCTGGAATGTTGTGAACCAGGTGAGATCAATGCTGAGCCATTATACCTGGCTCATCAGTCATCTGTTTGCAGCTACTGATGCATGGGCAGCAGGCTGGCAGAGCTAGTTTCTAAGCATTTGTGACCCACTGTACATCATAAGATAATAATTCTTACTCCTATCATATATCCTTTTCCCCCCCTAGGTTTTCCATCTACTTTCCATTTTAGGCTTTGTTGCTTATGTCAGTGGTAGTTGCATTCTGGCCAGAGGCAAATTTCATTGAGCAATGTCTTTCTTGGATGTCTTAGATACTGCATTGGCTCCATTTTTGACTTGGCTGCCACTTGTTCTTTTTTTTTTATCTTTTGGGCAGTCCCTTGCAACAGGCAATTATTTTGGTTGCAACCTGTTACCATATCCCAGTGAAGCTTCTCCTATCTACCCTGCTATCCCCAGCTCCTCTAAAAAAATGTTAGAGGAACATCTCTCAATGGCAGCATAGATTTTACTTAGTACATTTTACAGTGTCAAATAAGGATGGCAATATCGCATCTATCCCTTATTTCTGGGATTTCTGG